GGGGGGGGGGGGGGGCTTCAAACAAAACTAAGGCACGAGGATTCTTTCAGCACCTAAGGCAAGGCGAGCTGAGCGACCATCCCGAAGCCGTCCTGAAGCGAAGCCCATTAACAAAGGTACAAAGGAGGAGTTGAAGGTGGCGGGGAGAAGCGGGGGACGGCTGGCTGGCCAGTCGCTCGGCTCGCCTTGCCTTGTCATGTGTGCTGATGCCGGTACCGGGCCGCCGATCATTTTGTGATGCCGGTACCGGGTCGTGGCACAAAAAAGATTGGGGACCACTGCTTTAAAGGCATTGTTGCAAACTAGCATGTAGCGCTTTGTGAAATGCTAGCTTCATGCTTTTGATTAGAGCCCTGGCAGCACAGTGGTTAGAATGCAGTATTGCAGGCTAATTCTGCTGTCTGCCAGCAGTTCGATCCTGACCGTCTCAAGGTTGACTCAATCTTCCATCCTTCCGAGGTTGGTAAAATGAGGAGCCAGATTGTTGGAGGAAATATGCTGGCTCTGTAAAACCGCTTAAGAGACCTGCCAGGTGTAGAGGAAGCTATAATCATATGCACACAGCAAAAACATCTCAATGACCAAAACATGATCTTCCTTTCCTTGCTTCTCCCAAGTATTTCCAAGATTACCAAGCATTGATTTACTGTCTTTTTTTTTTCTTTAAAAAAATAACCTTGGACTGAAACCTTGTAAATCTGCAGGGTTACCTTTCAATAGGTAGCAGGGGAAAAATGAGATTAAGAACGTTACTACTCCTTTTTAAAAAATAATAATGCAAGATTAAATGACCACCGCTGAACTCCCTGGAGAAAGAGAGATACCCGAGGGCGCCTTTTATTATCTTTCATAAAAGGCAAAATTTCCTTAATGGTTTTGCCCTTTTGACTCAGAGGGCATTGAAGGAAAGAATCTCAGTCATTTTAACACTATGTTTTCCTGCTTGTATCTGCAACATCTTCCCTGTCAAATTGCAACACCTGCTTCTGAACAGCCCTGGCCTAAACCACCTGGCCTTTAGCAAAAGTGCTGCATTAACCCATTTCGCCTTTCTGCCTGCTGTTAACTCTGGCATCCAGTCATGAAAAAAAAAAATAGTCCATCCTTAGCTTAAAACAAAGTCAACCAGTCACAAAAAGGATGCCTGTAATATTGTCCAAGAGTCCAAAACAGCCTTAGCCGCCTTCTCTGCCCAGTTAGGTGGCGGTACCTATTCGGTCTTAGCTACTTTCAGAAATAATACGCAGATGGGACAACACGGAGGAATGCTGGAGTTACCAGCCTGATTTGAAAAGAAGTAAATGCTGGAAGGCAGCCATGGGAAGCCATCCAGTATCATGTCCAAGAAAACTGTAGGGATGCAGGTGCCCAGAACCAAGCCTGAATGCCTCCTTTATCTCTCTATCCCATCCTCTCAAAAGCAGCCCGTGGCCCAAGGCTGTCTGTAAAACCAGGCTGCGTGCAGCCAAATGCCGAAAGGGTAACTCTAGCCGGTTCTATTTAATGTGAGGTATGTGCTCTTTCTTTGAAAGACATGTGGGAGTTTTGGTTGAAAAGACCAGGTTACAACCTTTAAGCTCCACGGAAGCATAACTTTGCTGGAAGTGATACAGAAGCCCTCGGGGTAGACTGAGAAAGATGACTCATTCCTTCTTTTCACTCTTGATACGCCTTCCTAATTTCAGTTTGGCGGCCTTCCTGCAAAGTAATGTTCAGGTTCCACTCCTACGGCTGTTTCCTACCGGGCCCACCTGTCAAACAATGTTTTTGATAAGAGCAGATCAGTGGTGGGATTAGAAATTTTTTACTACCAGTTCTGGGGCATGGTGTGGCTTGGTGGGTGTGACGAGGAAGGATACTGCAAAATCCCCATTCTCTCCCCACCTCAGTAACCTGCTTTCCAGCTCTGTTCTCTTGTGCAGGGAAACCAAAGAAGACCCAGCCGATCAGCTGGGACTCCAGAGGCAAAGAATAGATGGGGGCCAGTCAGAGGTGGTATTTGCCAGTTCTCTGAACTACTCAAAATTTCCGCTATAGGTTCTCGTCATAACTGGCTGATTAGAGGAATGTAAATCCAGAGAAATGTAGATCAAGAATGGAGGAAAGCCTAGATGAGACCTATAAATAAGAATTTCCAGAATTATACCCAGTGCCGGAAAGAAACAAGGTTCATTCCTGGATGTTTTTGTTTAAGTACCCAAAGTGAGTTCCTTGGGCCAATCTGATGTGAGAACAAGTTTCTTAAATGATGACCCATCCAGG